TAACGTCATAATCAGCAATCTATCCACTATACTCCACTCTTCGGATCTCTACAATCAATTATCCCAACTCAAAAATCTATCCAACTCCCTTCCATCCGAAAACTATCTTATTGAACCTATCATTCTATCAAACTCTATAGCCCCATCAATCCCACTCGATTAAACTCCTACAAACAATGGATACTCACACTAGATACAATCCATCCCCCCTGATCCTACAATAGAACGGTGAAAGTCTGGAACTCAAAATAGGAGAACTCCTTAACATCATCGACAACTATGACATCCTGCTTTTATCAGAAACTTGGTTGCACCCGCAACAACACCTCAAAATTTCCCATTATAATATTCTACGAAACGATGAATTCACCCAACAAGAAGGTGGAGTCCCCATTACCATCAGAGACTCCATCCCATTCTCCATTCTTCCCTACATCTCTGATATCTCCCCCAACCTTTCCCTCTATGTAATAACAATCCCTACTTTAACGGGCGATTTGAATATGTACTCCCTCTACTGGAAACCAAATATTTTCGTCTCTCGAGCTCAATGGACAAACGTCTCCATCCACCCTCCAGACTCATATACCACACTGATCCGCGGAGCTTTTAATTGCCACCTACTCATGTAGGGCTGTAGCAGGGATGGTTCCGTGGGACGCGAACACCTTGAGGCACTCGCTGACTCAGAAATTATCCCGCTCAACAATAGGTCTCCTACTGAACTAACCCACCCGAACAAACTCTCCTCTATTATAGACGTCATGTTAATATCCGCTAATATCTCAGAATATAACGGAGCACTCCCTGACCACATGGGTGGCGTCCACCACCCAATCGAGTGAACTACCAACTCCCCACCTAAACTCTGCAACTTCTTCAGTCACAAAATCAAAAAATCCAAGATAGAATGGACACTCTTCGATGAATAGTTCCGAACTAACTCCGATGCTATACTAAACCTACCAGATAATTGCCTCTCCACCCAATAATATGAACAAGTAATCTCTACAATAATAAACGCTATCCATGCGTCTCTTTCTCCCAATAAATCCTTTCCAACCAAAAACCTCGTCAAAGTTAACACCAAAGGAAAAGACCATAAAAGGAGTCCTCCCATACCACGGTAGAATTTTCAATACTCCAGAGTTGTTGCCTTAAGGAGAAAAGTGTCCTCCACATTCCGGATACTCCACCTACATTGCCCTAAAAAAAACCAGCCGTCACTAAACTGATACTTAGGAAAGAGAAAATCAAGGGTTGATCCGTCTTCTGCTCCTCCCTTCACTGATCTACTCCAATAGATGTCATTTGACATAAAATAAACAACTTTAAAAATAGAAACTTCTACAACCCTAACCTACTTACGCCACAAGATATGGAGTTGGTCACGAGAATGAGAGACTTCATCCCCAATTTCTGTCCGGACCTCCCCCCGGATTATATTCCTCCTGCGCTTCCCCAAGTAACCTTCCGATGCAACGACTTCCCTGAAAACGAACTCTCTCTAAGTGAATTGACTTACGCTCGCAGCTCTACCAAAAAACTATCCTCCCCCGGCCTAGATTCAATGGACTATCACATCATCTGTGAACTGCATCAACTATACGAAATCAAAATCCTTGAAATTTTCAATGAGCTTCTCTTCAAAAACTAATGTCCTGACTCATGGCGCTAGTTTCTGGTAGTTCTCTTACCCAAAAACTCTCCTAACAAATTTAAACCAATCGCACTAGATTCCTGCTTTCTAAAACTTTGTGAATAAGTAATCTCAAATTGATTCACATGGTGGCTAGTAGCAAATAGAATCCTTCCGAACTACCAATTTGACAACCATTCTGACAACCATGGCATTCTAACCACTGAAATTTTCACAGGCTAAAAGCCATTTCATTGCTACTGTCTTATAAAAATATTTTATCTCTCTCATACATAAAAGGAGCTTTCGACAATGTCTATCCACACTTCCTCTATAAAGATCTGGCTCGAATTGCGATCCCTAAAAAAATCCCTAACTTTATCTCTTTCCGTCCTGAATACAGATAACTTTACTTTGCCGTTCAAGGAACTTTAGAAGGGCCCTTTCCTATGAATAAGGGCATTCGGCAAGTCTCAGTCCCCAGCCCAATCCTATTTAATATCTATCTGGCTAATCTTTCCAACCTGAATGACCTGGAAGCCGAGATGGTGGCATTTGCTGATGATCTGGCAATTCCTGCGCGGACCAAACCTCCCCACATGCCTAAATACAATCTAACAGGCTGTCTCTAGAATCTCCACTCACCTCCACTACAAACATTTAGAAATATCCCCTAATAAACCACAGCTGGCTATCTTCTCCACGAAGCATTTCTACCCCGATAATTTTCACATAGATATCAACGGCCGAACAATCCTGGGGAAAACCTCTGCCCATTTACTGGGCGTTGAACGGGACTACAAGCTCAACTTTAAAACTCACATTCACAACCTATGCCTTAAAGCTAACAAAACGATCACAATGATTAAGTTTCTCAGAACCACTTGGTTTGGAGCGGACTCGAGCATTCTGACTGTCTTCTATGGTGGCCTCATGAGAAGCGCCTTCGAGTATGGCAGTCACCTCCTCCTGCCTGAGAGCTCCGCAGAATTTAACAAACCAAATAAACTACAATAAAAAGCCTTGTACCTTGCTTTAGACAATATAATCCTCGCTAAAGCCTGTGAACCCCCTCTAAATCTACGCATATTGCAACTACTTGCAGATACATAACTAGCATATTCTCTCCTTACAACTAATTATTCAAAGAAAACCAAACAACCCTTGCTCCATCAAAACAAACTTCCCCATATACCGTTCCCTGATAAAGGCATCAAACGGCAAACTCACACATCAAAAATTCAATGCAACCCCCTTTCTAGCCCCTATAACTACTCTTTCGATCTCATCAATCACAAAGCCCCCATCAACCTGGAAATAGGTTGTAGTATCAATAAAAGCACTTCGCCAGAAACTAAGCTCCAGCACCATATCAAGGATGAAAGCCTCCAGGAACACACCCAAATCAACACTAATGGCTCAAAAATTTCTGAGGGATCCTATGGGGAATACGCTGTGTTCATTCCGTCTTCCCTAGTTCAAATACTCCACGAAATTTCATCCCTTCCTTCTCTTTTCACAGCTGATGCTTTAGCGATTCTCATGGCTCTCTCCAATCCATTTACGAATTCAACCGCGATAAATTTCATATTTTCTCAAATTCGCTAAGTGTAATACTCTCCGCTCTTTCCAACTTCTCCCCCAAAAACACCAAATCCCATCTGGTCTTCGAGATCCTGGAGTGTCGGCTCAGACTCAAGGATCATGGTGTCGAGGTAAAATTCTCCTGCATTCCCTTCCATACAGACATTCTGGGCAATGAGGAGGTCGATACGAGGGCCAGGGCGATAACCTCAACGAGACTCCTTCGAAACACCTGCTTCTTCCCTCCGATTTAGAAGAATCTATCAACAACCAAATGAAAGTGTCCACAGCTTCAACCCTCAGAAAACGCGGGAAATCAAAAGGCTCCCACTATTTCAAACTTTTCTATGGACGCTGGCACAAACCTTGATACCAAAACCTAAATATAGACCGCGCCCAACTCCCGTCAATATGTAGGATGAGGTCCAACCATTTCGTGCTTAATGAAAGCCTTGCCAGGCAAAACATTATTGCCTCTCCCGTATACGATTGCAAACAAGTACAAACCCTCCCTCACTTCTTCTGTCTTCTCTCACGCATCGACATCATTAAAAAGGATCCCACGTGACCCCGGAAGAAAGAAACATCTCTTGAGCGAGCCCCTAGATGAGAAGAAGAAGGACACCCGATGACCCCCTCAAAAATCAGGAAAGAAGAAGTGAAAATGATTGGCAGCTATCACTCGTGCCACAGCCGCACCACGAGCCACTGCCCGGTTAAAGGAGAATACTTATTGTCAGGACGAAATACTATGTGAAGAAGGAAGAGTGTAAAGGACTAAATATTGTGTAAGAGGAACTATCAATGAAGGAGAAAGAAAGTGAGGAATACTGTGGAGGATTTTGTCTGTGAGAGGAACTATTGAGAAAGAGAGGAATATTGTGTGGAACTGTGAGGAAAGGATTTTATTGCGAGGAACTATTTCGGTTGGAGAACAGTTGAGAGGAATCTCGTGTGGAGGAACAGATTTTGGAAGAGGAAGATTGTACGGCTGAATCTCGTGGAGAGGATCCAAGGAGATCTGGGAGAAAGAAGGAAGGAGAAGAGACCCCGAGAAAAGTGGAGAGAATTTTGAAGACCGCATTCCCCGTGAGTACCCCATTTTTTATTCCCTGCCTCGTGTTAAATCCCCCCAATGAAGAAAATTAAAAAAAATATATTATTTTGAAAAAATATTCATTTCTTATATTCAGAATCAACATCGGTCAGTAAAAACTGCAATGTTTGACATTTTTTCTTTCACATATTTTTCGGTAAGGTCGTTATTGGACAAACAAATTTAAAAATCAAGTTAAAAGATATCAATAATTCGGGAAGCTGAATTTTAAGAAGAATTTCATGTTTTTTTCAATGAGTAATAGTTATTTTCATATTCAGAAATATTTTTGCCCATGTGTGAATTTTTTAATTTTTTTTTTATTAATCGCGGCGGCTATTTTCTCCATTTTACCATTTGGCAGAGGTGTCCTAGAACGCTCCCCAATACGGTGACTATGAGGCCCCCCACTACTGTCCCCACTATGATCGTACTAGGATCCTCATAATTGGCATGGTTATAAACTTTATTGGATTCTTAACTCGAGCTTATGACTCTACTCCGAGCTACCTGGAGGTTGCCCGTCCCTGATCTAAGAAGCGTCTTCAACATGTAATTGCTTGTTACCTGTCCAGGTTGGTCACAATTAAAGCGCTACAACCATGAAAAACATTTTTTATATATAAGTAATGGGAAAGACAACTGCGAGATATGGAAGTAGTACATATGAGGCATGTTTTATTTATTTAATTCCATTTTTTTTCTGTACAATAAGATTACTTGAAATGAAATGAAATATTTACATCTTTCGTTTTGATACAAAAAAACCAATATACTGAGCTAATGCTGAATAGAATAAAAGTATAATTCGCCCCAAAGTGGTACAAAAAAGTGAGTTTGCTTTTTCTATACAGAGAAATGGTATTGACCCAAAAAAAATCTAATCATTTTTTTATGGAGGAGGAGGGTCATTTCTTTAATCTAAAAAATTGCATTAATATTAATCACAAATTTATAACTTCAACGAGGGTATTTCTTTCTATTTTCTTTATTTTAAGCTACTTCCTCAGTCAATTATTGATATTGAATTTTTGAAATGTATACAAAACACGCTAAATTTGGATCATGTCACGTCAACTACATTGAAAAACTAGTCCGGCAATTTCAAGTATGTTTTCCGCCCAACGGTTTGAATGCACGTGAGAAGTTTACAACACAAAAATATAAAATTTTTTTTTTGTATACATCAAACGTTAGTGTGAAAACAAAGTGAAGTTCTGGGAATCCTCCTTGAATGTACTCAAGAAAATATGCTCCACATTTTGCGTGTTTTAATTAGTTAAACTCTGGAATGGATTTACAGTTTTCTGTTTCTGTATACACTTACATCACGTTTTTCCAAAGGTTTGACTTTGAACATTCATGTTCAATTGTGGTATAAGTGGAGATGGGACTGGTTTTGGAAGGGCTGATTCGGGAATTGCGACAGACACCGCTGTAGACGATGAAGAGAGTTTTTTGTGTTTATCCTGTTGTCGAGGCCTTGCGTGATCCTTACTCAAACGTTCACTTAGTGCTTTCAGTGCTATTTGTCTATGAACATAAATTGTAAATAACTCAATTAGTTGTGACATAATTGATTAATTCTTTTTTTCTTTTCTATTATCTATTCATAGTTATTAATGTATAATGTATCGGTGGAGATGCCTGCTAAAAACTACATCAAGGGGATATCACAATAAACCCCCAAAGTAGAACCCACAACGAGTCTTGTAGAGAGAGAGAAAGAGAGAGAGCCAGGAAAGAGAGAATAATTGGTAAACCTTTGGAAGACCGCCCTCACATAGCATTTCATCGAATACCTCAATGTTTAACATCCCCTTTGTCATAATTCACGTTTTTTTTTTCTCATTTTTGGTGCATACAATCGATGGGATTGACGCACGTATATGCTGTCCATATTCGAAAAGGACGGGGGCATTCATTCGGCTGGTGGTCTGAAGCGGTTTCGACGGTTGAATTCGTGGCACGCCAGGAAAGGCTACGACAACTTATCCCCTGTTTTTAGCTTTGCAATAGCTGCCTATCCCATACCTTAGTTCTGGTGGATTTGCGGATACACAAGCGGTGGATGGTTCAAACTAGAATGCTCCCATAACTGTTTGCTAATACCTCCAAGTACAATGGAAAAATGATTGATAATAACATAAAAAATGAGTAGATTGAGGACAATATTTCAAATTCTAGTGGGTAATTTGTTCTACAATAATTAGGAAAAGAGAAAGATGTCGAAGTTATGAAGTGACTAATGTAACCGATATACTTCACGATTTTTCTGCACGGCTATACGACATGACTTTCCCTTCAGTTTCAGTGTTCCCTAAAAATGTATCAATAGCTGCAGAAGAAACTGTGAGAGGTGTTCACACAGATAAAGGAAATGCCGAAAATCAAGCAAAGAAAGGAAAAAGTTCTGAAATGAGAAATGGACAAAATCCCTTCCGTATTCTCGATGAGCATTCTTCTAAGAAAGGATTGAGGTAAATGCGGTTTAATTTTTGTTTCTTTGATATGTAAAACTATTTTTGGTATTTAAACAAATGTCTCGAGAGGCTTACAAAAAATTTAACAGAGAGACTTATTCAACGATTTTTCCTCATATTGCGTAAATAAGGCGGGGCATCATCGGTTTGAAGGTGGATTCAGGTGAATGTTGATGACTATAATCAATTTATCCATGATTAACAAACTTTTTGATCGTGGGTCCTTGCCACCGTGAAATTTTATGCCTGAGATGATTTCCAGATCTTTATTGGAAATTCTCAATTCTTTGGTCTTTCCCTTTTTATTATTTCGAATATAACGAATGTAATAGCCACTCTATCCGATGAATACATCAAGTTTTTTGAAAGCGAAAAGGAATTTCTCGAAATTGACAACAAATGATCGATTAATTATTTAAGATATATAATTCGTTAGCCTAAAGTGGAAAAGATCCCTCGGAGTAATACCACCTTAAAATTTTTAGAAATTCCTCTGCCCCTTCAGGAAACTCGATGTACTGATCCGATGGAGTGGCCATTGCATTGGTTAAATTAGGAACAGTTTCACTGACTATATGATGGGAATGATGAAATAAGTTAAAATCTCCAATAGAGATCTGGAAATCAATCGAAGCATAAAACTTTGAAGTGACAAAGACCTACCTAAATTGTGTGAAATTTCTGACGAAACTGTCACTGAGGGTCCTATAAGGTAATTACCTAAACTTAAGAGCGAAAGAGAACCGCAAAAACTAGTCGTTACCTGACCTAAAGGATCCCGAGAGCCACTTTCATAGCTACCTACTATCTAAAAATATCGCGGAGAAAAAGCCACGTGACAATGATGCAAGGCACTGTTACCGAATATTTCCGGGGAAAGACTACATGAATCAGTCACTCGGATTAATTACCTGTTACCTAGTGATGTCAGAGAAATGCTACCCGAATACTTTCCCAAAGTTTGCTACCTATCGCCGAACATTAAAAGAAAAAGCTACCTGGTACCTTGAAATCAGATGCTAAAAAAGAAGTCATCTATTTATTCTTCGTGGTGGTAGGATTTCATTATAATAATAATTACACCACCCTTAAGGTTTGAGAAAATAGCGTTAAGTACAGTTAAAGCTAGAGATTAATAAAAATTCGTGAATACCCCTAAAATTCTCTTTATTACCAGTTAAGATTAGTCTACAAGTGATCGGGTTAAGGGTCCAGGATTTACCGTGGAAAATTGACTGACATAACGTGATCCCGGGGGTCCCTGAAAACCCTGGTTATTTGGATAGAGAAGCCCATAGCGGGATTAGGATATGTGCGCTCCCTTAGTGTGAGGGAGATGGGGAGCCTTCAGTTAAGTACGGGTGGAAGGCCATGTGAGTGAAATTAGCTCTCTCGTTGCACATATTGTCAGATTTATACGGTTACGAAATTTAAGTTTGACTATAGTTTTAAACAAATTAAGGATTAGCTAGTCTCGGGAACTCGGGTTCTCTAAACCATATCCTTAAGACGGATGCGGAGAACAAGGTTGAGACGCCAACCGGGCGCGTCTCCAGGTGGCGGATAGAACGACCAGACGAATTAACCGGCTGACGACAGAACACGGGTAGAGATACCCGTGGCCTGGTGTTGGGATGGTGAAAAACAGGGCCCGGCAACCTTCAGGTAGTCGGGAGCCAGCCTATTACTAGGGTCGGGATAATCCTCTCATCCTAATGGGTACCCAATTAGCCAACCATTGTGAGCGAATAAGTCCCAGCAGTGACGATATTGCAGCCAGCCACGTAGAGTGGCATGTCAGTCACATAAAAATGGCTGACCGGCCAGAATTGGCGCAAATTTTCAGTTTCAAATTTTAAATAGAAAATAGAAAAATTAAAATTTCCAATGAAAAACCCTCAAGAATATATTTAGGAATTGGTTTTCGGTAATTATTATTTTCCTACCAAATAGTGCCACTCTAAATGTGAAAAATAAAAATTTGCCACGGTTATTTTTTGGAAGATTCTATTATATATTATATTATATTCCTGATGGTTTTTTTCATCCCAATTTCAATCAATCAAATGCTGGCATTTTCCGTCACATGGTACAAGTAAAACGGTTTTACTTGAGATATTTTTCGAATATTGCCTCGTTTGTTGCTAAGCAATGACAATATCCAATAAACAATTGGTACGCGTTTCAAACCTCAAAAATGTCATTAAAAAAAATCCAGTTCAAAGACTTTACCTCAACATGAGCAGATTTGGAGGAGAATCCTTCGACATTATTGATCAATAAATTGAAAAAAAATTGAAAATTGAGATTTCCTAATAAAACCGTTTCATCGAAAATCTCGGGCATATTTGTCATTTATTATGGGCCATCTCAGTTCTGTGCATTGCTAGTTTCTTCTCAGAATTCTTATTTTTAGATCTCTTTATTCTTATTCATTTCTTCAGCAAGGACTATCACAACTATTGCTCATAATATGATAATTAAATCGTAAAATAATTACACAATTATAACACTTACACCGCCATTCATCCACGAATTGTTTGCTTCATATTATTGGGTACAGTTACCGCTCCAGCTCAGGAATGGACAAGTATTTTATTTTATTTGTTTCATTGCTGCAAATATCGTCTGGCGACAAAATAATTGTCAAGGCAGATTCCTCATCATGAAAACATCGAAAAAATAATTTTTCCTCATATTGCTGCCTATTTCGAATGAAAAAAATTATATTTATAATTCAAATTGATGGAAAATCAAAATTCCCGCTCGATCGCACGGTGGCCCTCTGCCGGTATCGGTCGAACCAGAGCTCAAGCAGAGAGAGATATCGAATTAGAGCAGGTAGTTTTGTTAAGTGGATGAGGCCCCTCTCCCAGCTCTGACTAACGAAGCTCGGGAGTCGCGTGAGCCTAATGAGCCCAGGTTGCCGGGCCCTGGTGAAAAAGACGCCAACGGTGGTGATAGGGCGTGCAAACACACGCCTAAAAACCCCGTCGCGGATCCCCAAGCCAAGGCGTTAGCTACCGCACCGATGGGTGCATGACGATGGGGGCGCTGCGTCGTTAACGGTGCTCTGCCCGGGTGAGACCGCTTCACCTAGACACTCGTGGGATTCAGATGAACACTGACCAAAATCAAAAGAAGCCAACAAAGCCTCCTGAGACCTCAACGAACCAGGAAGGAGAAATCAAGCCGGTGTCTAACAAGACCCGGACTAGATATAGCGGTGCTGCTATTAAATAGAGCATACGGCTCTCAGGGCTCAACAAGGGAATATAACACCTGCTTGGTTGTGACGCGAACTCACACCATCTGGGGTGGGGAAACTTAAACACCAATGCCAGAGGAGAAGCCCTACACGACTTCATGATGGTCAACGACCTGCTACATCTGCACAGGGGGAGCGAGCCGACCTTCACAGACTGTAGAAGGCAGAAAATGCTGGATATCACCATATACACAGCAGGCATGGTGGACTTGGTTAAAGACTGGAGAGTAGCTAAAGAACCTTCGGGCTCCGACCATGGTCAAATACGCCTCAAGCTAAGTGGCAGAGTGGATTCTATGCGGAAGAGAAATTTGAAAAAACGGACTGGGCGGAGTACAAGGAGGAGCTCTCACCAAACAGGTGAGCTTGTGGAACGCAACCCTAGCTGACCTGAGGGACCAGGCAAGGCGGCCGTGGAACAAAGTGAAAAACTCTTCCTGTAACCTACGCAGGAGGGGGGCCATAAAGGAACGTAAACTACTCCAGAAGAAATACAACAGAACCCTGGCGAAAGCCAGGAGAGAAGGTTGGAAGAGGTTCAGCAGCAGAGTCGAGAACCTGTGCGAGGTCTCCAGGCTGTTTAAAGTATTGGGGGGTAAGGGTGACGCCAACCTGGGCTGTTTAATGAAGCCAGATGGCAGCTATACCTAGACCTCGGAGGAATCTCTTCGACTCCTGCTTCAGGAGCACTTTCCTGGCTTTGCAAGCATGGAAAGCGCGAAAGAGGCCGCAAAGGAAACTGGAAGCCGGTATAAACCACCGGATTGGGTTCTAGCAGCCAA